TTTGTATACTCTTGGAAGTCAACCTTCCTCTGTGCAAGGTGCCGTGTGACCCGTCACAGCTTGTTTCAGGCCGTAAAGGCTTTGAGGTAGTAACAATACGATTTTATTTACAGAATTCACACCCAACTCCTTCAATACTTGATCCCGTATCTCCATCCCTTGTGGGACCTTAATACAAATGAGGCACTCCTCTTCAGCGGATGCTTTAACGTAAGCAATAGGCACATCTCCGTGTCTAACTGGTATCTTCCAGTATTGCGCCATTGCCAATATCACCTTGGCAGTGATCATTTCCATGACAGGCGCATATGTTAGCATGAAATCCTCACCAAAGACTTGTTTATTTCCGCATGCAACCATTCTTGCTTTGTGTCTTTCTATTCCACCTTGTGCGTTGGTCCCGGTCTTTATTATCCACTTGGTATTCAGTATTTTCATGTCCATCACTGGTTTCCACGTGCCGTTCTGCTCTAATGAGTCATGTTCGGACTTAATCGCAACAGTCCATAGGTCTTTACCCTTGATCTTTATTGCTTGATTGTAGATTCTAGGATCGTTGGTCACTAGATTGGCAGTCTCCTCATTGCTCTTTTGCTTTGAAGTTTGTCTTGTAATCATCTTCTCAGCAGGTTTCCTATTGTTCTTCTTGTTCGGAGGCCTGTTCGACCTGGACCTCTTTGTCACTTCGATTCCTTGTCTCCTGATGGGCGCTGGCCATCCATTGCTCCTCCATCGTTCGGATTTGAAGCACATTCTGTGCTCACGCTTGCAACTCTGCATTTTGGGCTTCCGTGAACGTCTCTATGGACTTCAAGTGAGTGGTGATAATCACCTTCTTTGAGTCATGTAGGTAAATTATGTATCCTTTAATTTCTTTTGAAATCCCCAAGATGGTACCTGACTCTGAAGGCTTCTTTAGAGTTGATCTTGCTTTCTATGGGTCTCTAAACACTCTACATATCGATCCGAATACAGCTATGTCTCTCACGCTTGCTGTGCTGCCAGTCAAAGCTTCAATTGGTGATGTCCTTCCAGCATTCGATCTGGTTGGGCTTCTGTTCAGGATGTAGCTCGCGTATTTCACGGCGTCGCCCGAAAATTGTAGTGGTAAGTTGCTGGCAAACAGCATGCTTCTCACCATACCCATGATTGTTCTGTGTATTCGTTTGGTCTTGCCGTTCGACGCTTGATTGTAAGGTTCCGACATTTGCCTCTCTCCAGACTTGTTGCAGAACCAATCTACATTGGCATACTCGCCACCCCCATCTGTATGCAGCACGCTAACCTGACAACTAAATCGCTTCTCGAAATACACTAAGAAATGCTTAAACTGCTTCGCTACTTGATCCTTAGTTTTAGCCAGGAATACTCGACAACAATTCGTCTTATGGTCGACGAAGTTGATCAAGTATCTATTGCCTAATCTATCCCTTGGTGTGATAGGGAGCTTGATATCACTTACTATTACACCTCCAATGCGAACGATAA